AGATAAAGTTATTTATTCTATTAAATTCTTGACATTAGACTCTATTTGGACTCATTATGTCATATATATTTGTTTGGACTAATTACATAAATTTTTAATTGAGCCTAACAATGATTAAATATATATATATATATATATATTTAATTTGGCCCAATAGATTTTTTTAGGGGCCTTTTAGATTAGGTCTCAAACAATAAAAAAATATTGAGCTTTGAACTTTAAATCTAATATAAAACTATTAAATTTGAGGCCTTATTTTGGGCCAAAATTTGGGGCATAAGCACAGGCCTTAGTGGCTTTAGCCCAGCGCCAGCCCTGCTTGTAGAAGTGCTCAATGATCAAAGAATAGACAACTTTGTCAGGAAAGAAACAACATCTCACCAGGGCTGGCCCTGATATTTATGGGGTCTTAGGCGGACTTTGAAAGTAGGGCCCTCTTACATATGTTTTTTTATAAAAAAAATTACTAATAAAGTAATAAGTTACCAATAATTTTTTTTTATTATTTAGTAGCTACAAAAAGTTTCCTTATACATATAATCATTAAAATTTATTTTCATATATTAAGATATAAAAAAATCATTACAAAGACTCAAAAAGATAAAATAAGGTCATATTGTTTTATAGTTTAGCAATAATCAACACAAATAACATAATTCTCTGATATCTGATAATGAAATGATTATGTTATCGTAATATAATATCTGATAACACAATCATAATCCACACAAATCACAATCCACTAATTATTTGATAACAAAACACAAATTATTGAAAAAAAAATTGGGAAAAAAAATTAAGGCAAAATTATTCAATTAAATTATGATAAAAAGAGAAGGCAAAAAAATTAGGGCAAACAAAATTATTGAAAAGAAATTAGGATAAAATTATTCAATTAAAATATGATAAAGAGAGTTGGCAAAAAAAATTAAGATAAAGTTATTTATTCTATTAAATTCTTGACATTAGACTCTATTTGGACTCATTATATCATATATATTTGTTTGGATTAATTATATAAAATTTTAATTGGGCCTAACAATGATTATATATCTATTTTGGGGAAATTACCCACAGGTCCCATGTGGACCATCTGGACACCATTTAATCCCATAACTTTTTGAGTACACCCAAAAGTCATTTCCTCTCTCTCTCTCTGTTTTTTGCTTCCCTTCCTCTCTTGTTTTTTTTCTGCATTTTTCTCTCATCGTCTTTGTCATGGATGACGACCGGTGATCATGTCTTTCTCCATTGATCGGGGTTCACTGATAACCGCCAACCATCGAAATCAACTCGTGACTTCACTCTCACCGACGACGAAGATAATATATTTCCGACGAAGAAGATGATATATTTCCGACGAAGAAGATGAGTAGATCTACTTAGATCTGATGTAGATCTACTCAGATCTACATCAGATTTGGCTAGATCTAAACAAAAAATAATTGCCGGAGTACAATCCTCTCTCTACATGCGCCTTTCTCCTTCGATCTCTTTTTTTTTTTTCTCTGCTATACACTTCTGTTTTTCTGTTCTAATGGAGAAAATTTTCGAATTCTGAACAAGTAGTTTTCGAGTTTTAGTTACAGGCGGTGAAAACTGTAAAATTTTACAGTTTCAAATTTTTTTGGTGCTGGAATGAATCATGGTATGAAACTGTAAAATTTTACAGTTTCATAACATGTTTTCCAGTTTAATTAATAAGGATAAATGCTTAATAGATTTTTGTTTTGAAACTGTAACATTTTACAGTTTCAAAACTTACTTTTCAGTTTGATCACTATTTAGAGATTATTTGCTTGAACCTTACAAAAATTGAAAAATAACATATGTTTTCCCCATTGTTGCTGTTTTTTGTCGTTTCATTTTTTTTCCTTTTAGTTTATCAATATTTAGCACATTTTGCTATGTTTTTTTGCTATAATTTATCCATTTATTCTTTTTTTTTTTTCCGGCAATATTCTAGACATTCCGGTGAGTCTCTAGTGCTGTTCTTAACGTCCAGTGAACGTTCTGAACATTCCGGCGACTTCCATTAACGTTCTTAACACTCCGGCGAACTTCCAGCGAAACTCCGACGACTTCCCGGTGATACTCTGGCGACTTCCCGACGATGTTGAACATTCCGACGAGTCTCCGGTGACCGTTTGACGGAAGTCCTACGGTAGTAAGATGTGAACAGTGTCTGTAAATTAAAAAAAAAAAAGGATTTTTTAGTAACAATTAAAAATGTATTGGACTAATTGGTGCAAGTATTTTGTTTTGGGATTAGTTGGGTTTTGAACTTGGTACATGGGACTTATCAGTAAGTTCCCCATGTATTTTTTTAATTTGGCCCAACAATTTTTTGACGGGCTTTTTAGACTTGGTCTCAAACAATAAAAAAAAGATTGAGTTTTGAACTTTTAATCTAATAGAAAACTAATTAATTTGAGACCTTATTTTGGACCAAAATTTAGAAACCCTAGACACAGGCCTTAGTCACCTTAACCTAAGGCCGGCCTTTAATACAAGGCGAAGAGCCTCTTATATACATGGATATGGAATGCTCCAGCAAACAACAAATAATATTCATGAATAATGATATACAAATAAATTTTTTATAAAGAATCAAATTATTTCTCTCTATCCCTTCATTTCAGATGAAAACCTTCAATATTATTATCTTTAAGACAACATTAATATGAAATTTATAGAAGAATAATAGTAACTTTTTTAATTTATTACATTTTTAATCTAAAAAAATATATGGTTTATTTTTCAAAACACAATTGCCATTACTTTTTTTTTTTTGGGTAAAAAAAATGAAAAATTGAACAAATTACAGTTATTGGATCGATTTAATTTTTTTTTGTGAAAGAAATACACGAAGGACACGACAAAATAAACAGTTCGGATCACCGAAATGGAGCCCGTGGTGGGCCCCACGAGCCCTAAAAACACCCTCCAGTCCAAATTTTGTGTAATTTATCACATTTTCACTAAAAAAAATAAACAACAATTGTGTTTTAAAAAATAAATCATATATTTTTTTATTACAAATGCTATAAATTGAACAAGTTACAGTTATCGGATCGACTTAATTTTTTTTTTGAATGAAATACACTAAGTGCCCAGCAAAATGAACGGTTCGAATCATCAAATGGGGCCCGTGGTGGGCCCTATGGGCCCAAACAACTAGATCCTCCTTCTACATACACTAACAATCTTATTAAAATCCTTACTAAAAATACAAAAGGTCAAATATGATTGGTTATTAAAACAAATAATAACATTTAAACATCTAATGATGTTTGGACATCTATATTTTTAATAAGATTATTAGTAAGAGTTTAAGTAAGGTGGTTATAATGGCTTGGGTTAGACCCGACCTTTTTCACGTTCTTGGATCCGGGATCCGATACTCTTCATCGTTGTCTATACTCCTTGTTTTATTATTATTGAGTTTGGAGTTGTTGCACTACAAGAAATTATACTTTTGGCAACTACTTTTGGCGACGACGTTAATTTTTCATAGCCAAAAGTATATTTTTGGCGACACAGTGATGAATTTTGTTGGTAAAAGTAGACATTTACCGACGCAATTTACTACCGTCGCTAAAAAAACATAACATTCACTAAACGCCAAAATTATTGGTTGGTGCCAAAATTTCAAAAATTTCAGCTATGAGGCTTTTTTTTTAGCAACACGATGAGTGTTGCTATTAGTGTGCTTACTTTTGGCAACGTCAAGTTGATGTGGGCAAAGAGTTAAACATTTAGCGACGATAACACTATTCATCGGTAAAAGTTTTGCTAGTGAAACAAGACGGTTTAGTGATTTGTGTTTTTATTATAACTTTTGAAAGAGTTTTAAAAATTCTAATTATTGAATTGTAAAATTAAAGTGATCATTGAATTAGATCACAAAATGAACCCATCAAACCAAAACACACTCTTAAGTTGAGATGGCTAATTTGAGATAATATAAACTTTTCTAAAGAATGTGGTTAGATTATTAATTTCAATATATTTGGTTTATTTTCAAAAACTAGTTTCAAATTTTTTTTTCTAAAAAACTTTAAAAAAAAATTGGGTGAAAAAATTAATAATATTCTCAGTTTTACTAAATATGACTTCTTGGTTAAAAAAATATTAGATAGGACATGAGCTACTATAATATTTATAAATAGGACTTTCAGGTAATTAACCCCAAAAAATAAGTTAAATATTTTATAAATTAAAATATTAAAAAACATAATATTATTATATCAGACTTATAAAATTTATTGTATTTTTTTCAAAATTTAACAAAAATCATTATAATTTATCTAAAAATAAAATAAAAAAGATAAATTACAAATACACTCTTAAAATTTGTTTAAGATACGAATTTTCTCTTATAATTTTAAAAATTATAAATACTCTCTTATTAAAAAATTATAATTAACAGAATTGAAAAAATAAAATTTTTAACTAGTATAATTATGCAATAATAAAAATACTTAAATTGTTAATCAAAATATATTTGTAATATGATTAAAAAATTTGATAATTTATTAATAAAATAAATAATTTATTATGTGACTATTAAATTAAAGGATCACATTATAATTTAAGAGAATTTTTTTTAAGGCCGCTAATATTAAGATTTTATAAGATAAAACACATAATATTTTTATAGTAATTAAGATCCCTCAAAATTTCTATAGAGAAAATTCAACTCAGAAAAATTTTATCTGATTTAAAGAAATTTCAATTTTCACAGAGAAGTTTCAAAATTTCTCCGAGTTGGGCAAAATTTCTCTAAGTCAAATTTTTTCAACAAAAATATTAAGTGACCTTAACTAATAAAAAATAAAAAAAAATTTCTCTTACTACACAAAATTGAAAAGAAATGTTTCAATAATTTTCTTTATAATTTATGAAATTTCATGAAATAATTTATATTTCAAGCAAATGTCCCTATTTGTTAAAAAATAAAAATAAAAATAAAACAAAAATACCCATACAAACTCCTACATAATCTGGATCAAAAGAAAAAACTCCTACATAACCGCCCATCCCACACCGAGTTCGCCACCACCGCAGCCCACCCTCTTTCCACTAACACCGCTGCCCTTACTCCGCCAGTGTCTTCCTCCTCCTTCGACGCTGTTCCCCGTCGCCCTAAGATGGAAGTCGACAAAATCGATGTCGTCGCCCCGCCATTGAAATCGCTCATAGAGTTTGAATCTTCGACAACGGTATCATTTTCCTCCTCTTTCAGTTCAATCCTACTATTCACTGTTTCAAAATTTCATTTTTTGATGATTTAATTCATAAGATTCACTACACATATCATGCATTTATTTGAATTTGAGTCCCTGAGCAAGTTTTGCTTCTATTCAACCCTAACCTAATGCCTTACCAATATGAACTACTGTTAATTCCTGAAATCTGAATTTGACATACTATTTTGTCAATTTAAAGTTTTTGAAATTTCCGTATTTGTCTTTCGAAAAGAAAGCAAAACACCTTTTATTTATTTATTTATTTATTTTTATTTTTATTTTTAATAATTTTTATTCTGGGCCTATATTGATTCCTTGGTATTGGGTCTAATTGATTCTTACATTTGTGTCAAAGCTACATTTCTGAAACATAGCTGTCTCTTGGTTTGTTGCTTCTGTTGTTAAGCCCTGCCTGTGAATATTAACCAGAGAATTTTCTTTGAAGAGGTTTGATGATTCTTTGTGTTTATTTCTCATGGTGTCCGTCAATTTCTCAGAAACTACAAGCCCCTTTTTGCTTCCCGTATTGATCAGCATTTTGTCTATTGGGAGAAAAGCTCCATCAAATGGGTACATTCCCTTCACCAACTCAAACAAAAAAGACCCTTTCGTCAAATTAACAAATACACAAAAAAACCTCTCAAACCTGTCGAGAAAAGAGATTTGGACCAAAAAGTTTATTCAAGGGATACCATTAGAAACATATCAAGCATTTTAAGGTATTCGACTTGGGATTCTGCCCAACAACAGCTAGAGAAGCTCACTATAAGATGGGATTCTTATACGGTCAATCAAATTCTCAAAACCCATCTGCCAATGGAAAGGCCTGGCCGTTTTTCAATTGAGCTTCTCAGCTAAAAGGTTTTAAACATGACCAGTTTACTTACACAACCATGCAGGATATTTTCGGAGAAGCTAGGAGGATATCATCAATGAGCTATGTTTTTTAGCAGATGCAAGAGAAAGGGATCAAGATTGATGTGGTTACTTATACTTCACTTCTGCATTGGTTTTCCAATGATGGGGATGTTGATGGTGCAGTGAGGATTTGGGAGGAGATGAAAACTAGGCGCTGTGATCCAACAGTTGTGTCTTTTACTGCTTACATGAAGGTTCTATTTGATCACAATGGAGTGAAGGAGGCTACCAAGGTCTACATGGAGATGCTGCAATCTGGTTGTTCTCCAAATTGTTACACGCACACAGTTCTAATTGAGCATCTTGCTGATTCTGGTTCGAGCTTATTCTTTTTTTTTCTCCACGTAATATATATCATTCTTTGTTCTATAACTTTGCTGCTTGTGTGATTGGCGAATGCTTGTACTCTATGTTTGTTAGTTACATTACTTGTATGTGTCCAGAAAGATTACTATTATCAAGATAAGTTCTGTCCATTTTCTCTTGGCACCATGTATTCCTCAACAATGGTGTGTAAGTCAGTTTCTTAATCTACTTTTGTAGATCCCTTTACTGGAACAGCCTTGTCCTTTTGTCATCTTGAGGTACATTTGACCCTTGAATCTGAATTTTGTCGAAAGATAGTGTAATTGCTATAGAAATGATTTAGAATAAAAGAAGGAAAAAAGAAAAGAGCCTGTGACCATCAACATCAATACTTTCGAAGTACTTCAATATGACTTACCAAACAATCATTCTTCTTCTATATATTAGTTACCTTCTATTCCTTACGCAGATCATATCATCGATCCTGTTCAATGGTTTTTCTGATACTTATCGTTCATTTCAGTTTGTATCTTTGGGTCTTAATAGACTCTCTTTAACCAATCCCTAATCCTGATATTGAGGAAATCAATTATCAACCAATTAGGCTCTCTAGAGAAACCATCCTCTCGTTATGGAAGGAAGATAACAATAGACATAACTGACTTAGGTTCTTTTGGTCGCCATTTGTCATTTTGATCCGTTTTATCCTCATATTCCAATTTAGTTGAATAGGATTGTAGTGGCAGCAGAATTTTGTTACTTCCAGTATCACAATTATGTGCTTATTACATAATCTTGTAAGGCTCTCTATTAAATGGGTTTTTTGATAGTTGTAGTTCATTTCAGTTTTGCTTTGGATATTACTACACTTTCTTTAATCAATCCCTAATCCTAATATTGAGGAAATCAATTGTCAACCAATTTAAACTCTCCTGAGAAATCATCCTCTAGTTATGGAGTGATTAAAGGTAACAATAGACATAACCGATATAGGACCTTTTGGTCACCGTTTGTCATCTTTATCCTTCTTATCCTTAGATTCCAATTCAGGCGAATAGTATTGTAGTACCAGCAGATGTTTGTTACTTCTAGTATCACAATTATATACTTCTTGTTTCAGGATCTTGTAAGCCTCTCTATTCCATTGCAATAAAATTGGAAATATTCTCAAAATAGCTTGAGACAAATTTGATTTATCATGAAACTTAAACATTTAACATATTTTAAAAGCAGCATATGTATGCATATTGGAAGAATTAGCTTTTAGTAAGCTTATGGTTATGGAGAATTACAATTAGCTAGATGAGTTATGTTCTGGATTTAGTTACTTGATTTATTGATTCTTTGTTCCTAGGGATTTTCTACTGGCTAGCTAGTCGAGGTCTACAAATATAACTGAAATTTATACAAGTAAAAAGATAGATGATAATATGCATGTTATGTATAAGGACATTTAAGTATTTAATTTAAGTATATTGGCTCCGTTTGGGAAGTTGGCTATTTTAGTAGGCTAAAATAGTTGTGTTTGGGAAGTTGGTTTGGTTTTTTTATAGTTAAATGTGATGTTTGTAAGAGAAAAAGTGAAATGATTATGCGTTTAATGTGACATTTTGTTTTATTGGCTATTTTAGTTTATTTCGTCTTTTAATACAATTTTAGCCCAAAAAGCCCAAAATGTCTATTCTCAAAGTCTCTGCATTTGTCAATGTTAAGCTATATATCTCATGTTACCATGCTCTTACTTATTTAGATGTTCCCATTCTGCCTATCCATGTCTTTCTTTCAACAAAAAGAAATAATAATAATAATAGTAATTTTCATTGATCTATGATGCTATCTGCACTGCACTGGTGTTATTGGAATTTTGAAGTTGCAACTTGTATCAGAAAAATGATCATCTCCTTTGCAATGATTTTCAGGCAAATACAAAGAAGTTCTTGAGATTTTTAACAAAATGCAAGAAGTTGGGGTTCAGCCTGATAAAGCCACATGATAAGCTATATATCTTTTTGAAGTTGCAACTTGTATCAGAAAAATGATCATCTCCTTTGCAATGATTTCCAGGCAAATACAAAGAAGTTCTTGAGATTTTTAACAAAATGCAACACCTTGGGGTTCAGCCTGATAAGCTATATATCTCATGTTACCATGCTCTTATTTAGATGTTCCCATTCTACCTATCCATGTCTTTCTTTCAACAAAAAGAAATAATAATAATAATAGTAATTTTCATTGATCTATGATGCTATCTGCACTGCACTGGTGTTATTGGAATTTTGAGGTTGCAACTTGTATCAGAAAAATGATCATCTCCTTTGCAATGATTTTCAGGCAAATACAAAGAAGTTCTTGAGATTTTTAACAAAATGCAAGAAGTTGGGGTTCAGCCTGATAAAGCCGCATGTAATATTTTGGTTGAGAAATGTTGCAAAACAAGGGAGACATGGGCAATGACCCATATTCTTCAATACATGAAAGAAAACCGCCTCGTCCTTTGTTACCCCGTTACCTGGAAGCTCTTGAAACTTTAAAAGTTGCCAGTGAGAGTGATGTTCGCCTCAGGCAAGTTAATCCAGATTTTTCTTTCGAACATGCCAACAAGGATGAGATAGATGATTGTAATGCAATTAGTACTGATATTGAATCCGTTATTGATGGAAGACTTATATTAGATTTCTTGAGAAGTAAAAATTTTGTTGCTGTTGACTACTTGCTTTCCTGCATGATGGATAAGAATACTCGATTAGACTCTAGGATAATCTCAACTGCCATTAAGGTCAACAGTGCTCAATGTTATTAGTTTGTAATAATAGTGCCTGAGGGATGCCTCTTGTAAATTTGTAAATCTTTAAAAAATATATATATAAATGATTTTTAATTATTTTTGCCGATGCAAATTTGTCATTGCCAAAAAGTAAAGCTTTCTCGACAAACAACTTATCGGTAAATATGTTGTCAAAATTTTGTTTTTGCTCACTCATATTGTGTTGCTAGAAGCGTATTTTTTGTCAATGCAAATTTGTCGTTGCCAAAAGTAAAGCTTTCTCGATAAACAAATCGTCGGCAAATGGCAACATTTATCGACATAAATGTGTCGCCAAAAGTTTACTTTTGTCGACTCATATTGTGTTGGTATAAGTATATTTTTTGCCGACGCAAATGTGTTGGGAAATGTGTTACACAATAATCATATTTGAACTACTTTTATCGACGCAGGGTAAATTGCTGATGATAGGTGAAGGTTTTTACCGACGACTATGTTTGTCGCTAAAGACATTACTTTTACCAACGCAATGATAATTTCATCGACAAAAAGTTTTGCCGACTCACTTTTGCCTACGAGTTACCGACATAGCTTGTGTGTTGGTGAAACTTTTTGCGGACGAAATTTTCTTTTTGGCAAACATATTTTGTTGCGTTGCGAAAAATATAATTTCTTGTAGTGTTGATTGTGTTAGGAACAGGTTGGTAGTTCGTTTTTTTTAAAGGAAATCATGTTAGTTTTCTTCAAGTCCGCTCAAGCGGTTTTCTGTAGCCTGCAAAACTTCTGGAAGGGGATCATTGTGCGCTCGACCCATGTTTTGGTCGCTTGAGTGGTGTCCTTACTTATGTCTGATGCTCGAGCGGTGTTTTGGTCGCTCGAGCCGTCCGTGCATATATTAGATGGGGGAGAAGGGTTTTTTTGTCACTTTTTTTTATCTCCTATCTCTCTCTAAAACATTTTTAAACCTAATTTCTTCTCTCTCTCTCTCTCTCTCTCTAGCTCTTGCTTAAAATCCTCTCATATACCCTAATCTATTTGATTTAACCACTATAGTACTGTAGTAAAACGTAAAGCTCGGCGAGGGCTTCCTTTTAGTCTGAGCGGATCGTCGTTTCGTTGTTGGTAATTTTTGGTTTGTCTCCTCTTCGCTTCAAGAAGTAGGGATTTCTTTGTTCTTTTTCAATACCTTGATATAGATAAACATGTAGTAGTTTTTATGGCATTTAAAAACAAGTTTGGTAAGAAATTTTACAAAAAGCATGACAGGGATTTAGGGTTTGGATTTTAAGAGTTAAAATTGGATGAGTTGCGGGTGTTTCGGTTTATTGAGAGATAGCTGGACATGTTCGTGTTGAGAGCGGGAAAAAACCCTACATTATGGGCTTAATTAATCCTAAAAGGGTGAAGATGTGTAATAACCGAGTTATGTGTTAAAGAATTAGAATAGTGGTTTAGTTATTAAAATGAAACTTAAATGGGTTTAGTAGTGGTTTTGATTAACTTTGTATTGTAGTTGTATTTTATGAATTGTATTAGTTTAAGGAAAAAGATGAAGTTTTGGCCAAGGGATTTGGTTTAGGAAATAAAATGACGTGTGGAAGTCTTTTTATGAAATGAAATGAGAAGTCGTTGATTTGAAAA